ATCTGCCTTTTTTTTTTTTTTTTTTTTTTTGCTAAGGGGGCGCCCACCTCCCGACACCCAGGAGTGATGGGACCAGCCCTGGGGCCACTCACTCCTTCATCACCCACTGGAGTAGTCGGCCCCTGAGTAAACCCCCGCTTTTCTTTCGGGGACCACCCTATCCAGAGAATGAGCGGCAGCGCCCAAATCTCTGAAGGGAGACCCGAGGACGAGTTCTTCGCAGTTCCCCTCCGAGACACTAGATGACGCTAGCCGTCGGTTTCTTTCTCGTTTTCTCGCTCAAACTCGCCACCCTTCTCAAGCTTAGACATTGATCTCGCGAGATCTCCCGTTAACTTACAGAACCGGAAGAAACGTGTAGACCTCTTCCCTTTTGCGGCCATCGCTGAAGCGGCAGCGGGTGAGGAGTCAGCGGGGCAATACGTGTAATCTGCAGCCATCCGTTTTTGGGGGTTGTGTCTCTCCACGCCGGGGGTCCCGAGATTCTCCTGCCGGCCGGATAGCAACCAGGGAGGGAGGCCGGGATGGTTTTAACCTAGCGTAGGGGCAGGCGAACCTGAGAGGGAATGAGAGGAGATTTGGGGACTCGAAAAGTCTTCAGCAATGTATTTTCCTGAAGAACCACCTGGAAACAACTGTGCTTATTAAAGTCTTTGTAGAGCTTTCAAAGTGCTCTCGACCATTTTTGGACCCGAGTTCTCTGCAGGAATTTCCAGGCTCAAGGTTGGGGGCGGCGGCTGACTGATTTTGGAGGGTCTGAATGGGTTCACACTCAAGTTCGTAAAAGGCGATCGTTGATTGATCTTCTAAAAACTCATGTTATGTTTGAAGTATTCGACATGCCTTATCTTAATTTAGAAAGTACATGTTGGCTCCTTCACATGATACTTAAGGAGTTCAGAGACTTCAAAAGTTTGTAACAGGTCTCTGTGGCACACACTCATAATCTCAGCAACATGGGAGACTGAAGCAGGAGGGTGCCAAATTCGAGGCCAGTCTTAGCAATTTAGCAAGACTCTGTCTCCAAAAAAGGGCTGGGGCCGTGTAGCTCAGTCGCAAAGTGCCCTGGGTTCAGCCCCCAGCACCACACACACATACAGAAAGCTTTTAGCTAAAGATGTGCTATTAAAGGAAAAGACTTTATTCTCTAAAGATACAGATACTATCCCTGCAAAGATTTTTTAAATTGCAAACTTTGCTTGATAGGCCATTAAGTGCCAGCAGTTTTTCATGCAGTTACTGATAGGAAGTCTTCTGTGAACAATTCAAAGATGAACCTGTTGTTGCTGTTTGAAAACTAGATGAGACTTTGATCATTTAAGGGTATGCTTAATTTTTTATTTAGCCAAAATGAAGTTCAATCCTTTTGTGACTTCTGACCGAAGCAAGAACCGCAAAAGGCATTTCAATGCACCTTCACACATTCGCAGGAAGATTATGTCTTCCCCTCTTTCCAAAGAGCTGAGACAAAAGTACAATGTTCGATCTATGCCCATCCGAAAGGATGATGAAGTTCAGGTATGTATCCCTACTTACTCGTGTTTTGACAGATGATCCCACACACTTTCAAAAGGAATTGCATTCTGAGAGATGCTTATGAGACATTGGCTTCCCAGAACAGGTTTGCAAGATACATAGCACCAGGGACCAAAAATAGTATGTGCCTGTCAATTCTCTTCGCAATCAACTTTCCAAAGTATTGCATGCAGCAGTGACTAAATGAAAGAGCAAGACCGAAAATCAGAACAATTACTTTGGGATTAATTTTTTCATCATTGAGGTCCAAAAAAGAGAAGTACTGATAATCTGGGATTCAGAAGCTCTAACTGAGCTATGTAGTACCATATGATAGAGTTTACTAGTAAATAATTTGCCAAGTCTAAGTGAAAATTTCCATGAGTTTCTTAGGTATAACCTGCAGCTGGTGACTATAAAGAATTGCTTGAATTCTTTAGAGATTGCTTGAATCTCTAAAGCAGTTTGCACTTCATCAATACTATTAAGAACAACCACTAGGTCCCTGCTGTACTAGTGCTAAAACTGCCTGTAGATCTTGGAGGAAGATTTATCTGTTTTCAAGATATAGCAATGCTAGATAAAATTGAAACAGAATGTTCAGAAGTACTTTGAGTTGCTTCCTGGCAGGCAGAGGACCACTAGAATGTCTGGGATAGGGAATTCTGTCAGTTAACCTTTGTCAAAGAATTGGTTTACTAAGTACTTGTTCCCCGCCCTATTTACCACTGGGTTGGACTATTCAGTGGGCATTGAATTAAATACATGTGCTGTTGTTATTTTTGAGATAGAGTAACATGTTTGTTAACAGCTTCTGCATAAAGCCAAAGTGTACTCCCTTTAACAAGCCTGGTACTGCTGGTGGCCATCAGTTAGGGGTGTAATAATCATCACTGTAGATAGGAACATGATTTATTTACAAGTTAGTTAAAACTAAGAACTGTTTGCATATTTAATGATTAAGTCTTTCAAAACTGAAAAGTCCTATAGATATGATGATAGAATGGATGGTGAATAAATGATTCACAGTTTTCTTGACTGTGATTCTCATTCTTTGATCCTCGTTTCTGTTATTTTGAATTGGTGTTTAGGTTGTTCGAGGACATTATAAAGGTCAGCAGATTGGCAAAGTCGTCCAAGTTTACCGGAAGAAATATGTCATCTATATTGAACGGGTTCAGCGGGAAAAGGCTAATGGCACAACTGTCCATGTGGGCATTCACCCCAGCAAGGTAGGTGTTTTTGAGAACACTTGACAGAAGACAGTTACAGCCAATAATGTTGCCAAATGTGACAGCTCATTTATAGAGCATCCCTAGTTTTAGATATGCTAGAAACCCATGTGATTTTGGTTTGGTGATGTTTTTATTCTGCAGAGCTGGAAGTCAAACCCAGGGCCTCACATGTTAGGCACGCTCTCTACCACCAACTTACATTTCCATCCCTGGAAACCATATCTTAAAGCAATATTGTATTTATATTGAAAATTCTAATATCACTGAAATCACAGTGTCCTTAACATTCATTCTATATGTATATTTACTGTGCCTTTTACTCAAAAGCAATTAGTAAGCTAATAGATCAACAATCTAAATATTGGCATATTTAATGTCTAGGAAATTGGGTAATTACAAAATGAAGTAGAGCTACAGCTCTGTTTTGTGTGTTCAGCAAAAACAACCTTGTGAGGTAGGTTTTAAACCATCTACAGATGGAAAAAACCTGAAACTTGGGCAGACAATCCCATGCACAGTAATTGTATCTAAATGATTATTGGCAGTTCACAAATTTTGGAACTCAGTTTGTTATTGCTGTCTCTAATTTCCATTTCCCAAGTTTTAATTCATTGTTGTTGATAGACACAATACCTTTTTTTATTATTATACTTATGTGGTGCTGAGGATTGAACCCAGTGTCTCATGTTCTAGGCACGTGCCCCAACCCTCCAATTCCAGGTTTTAAAAATTTTTATTGTAAAGGTCATGTAGAGTGAGCATTCAAATACCAGGTGGTCTTTTTAGATCGTATGTTGTTGCCATAAATCTAATTTTTGAACAGCAGTGTCAAAATTCTAGTACAATAAAACACCTGTATATCTTTCACTTAGAATTCTGTATTCAAATTTTGCCATGTTTTCTTTTCCCCATCTCCCCGTGTCAGTGGCCTTACAGATGTCAGGCCACTTCATCTCTAATCAGTCTGATCTGTAGAGCAAGGATTTTCCCATTCTTAACCTATTCTAGTCATATTCTTGTCTCGCACTAGGTCAGCTATTGTCAAGATCACCAATCCAATGACCATTGTTTTGTCTTTTTTGTACTTGTTTTGACACAGTTGATCTTGGAGTGGCTAAGTAGTCATCTTTATCTCTTAACTCTATTCTTAGAACTTCAGGCATATAGATGTTGATGGTTTCAACCCAGACCCCTTTCCTGAACTCTATTTCCAGTTGACAATTTTGCATTTCGATGTGAACAAGCTAATTGGTATTTCAAACCTGAAATGTTCAAACTTGTGATTTTGCCTTTGAGATCTCAAAAGAGTTTTTAACCATCGCAATGTGTGGCAGCTCTATTCTCCCAATTGCTCAGGCCGAAAATAACATTTTTAAATTCATTTATTACATACCCCTATCAGCAGGTAAGATTTTCTGTTTTGGTTGTCACTCTAAACACTAAGCCACATCCCTAGCCCATTAAATTTTATTTTAAGACAGTGTCTTGCTAAGTTTTCAAGGCTACCCTCAAATTTGTGGTCTTCCTGCCTCAGCCTCCCCAATACCTAGAATTACAGGTGTGCACCAACATGCCCCACTCAATAAGACCTTTTGGCTACTGTCATGGTATTTAGAATCTTGTCTTCTTATTTCTGTCAGAGTTAACTACAAGATGTTACCTTATGTCCCTTCTCCAGCCATTTGTTGACAGTGTTTTTTCCCACACGTTCTGATCTTCCTGGCCGCCTCAAGTGTTTTAAACCATGTTACTGAGAAAATATGTGCTGATTGGCAGCATTACCTGGCAATTTGATAGAATCACAAATTCTAGGTTCCCAGACCTACTGAGAATTAGGGGATGGGACCCAGGTTTCTATCTGTTGCTAGTTTTGGTTTTGTGTGTCATTTTTTTAGTTGGGTTGTTTTTTTGTGATGCCAGAGGATTGAACTCAGGGCATCAACCCTAGTTTTTCATCTATATCAAGATGAAGTACATTTACTTATTTGAATGTTTTCTGTCTCAAACATGAAATACAAATCAGACTGTGAATCAATCCGTTTTGGTCAGTATGTTGAATATCCTTTTCTTCTTCCCTTCACTTTCCTTTTTAAGACTGGAATTATGATAATGTAGATGCCTTTAGGATTGGGTTTGTTGGAATAAGATCTGCATTATTTGTTTCATTAAAATTTTGCAGGTTGAAGCATGTGTGAAAGGCCATGTTTAATTTTACTAACTCTATAGAATTCACAAAAAAAATGTGACATGGTTGACTTATAAAACTGGGGTGAGAGATATAGAATAGTTACATTTCACACTAAAAGACATTTTGTGATAAAGCACAGAAGAGGCTATGAAAAGAATCATAATACTGCCTGTCCGTCCTAACAGTTAAATAACCTTTTCATGTTTAAGCATCTGCTCTGCAGGTTTAGTAAATGGGATTGGATGTTAAGGCCTTTTTGGTGGTGATTATTTAAAACGTGGGAGTGTTTTTCATATTTTCTGCAGGTGGTTATCACCAGGCTAAAATTGGACAAAGACCGCAAAAAGATCCTGGAACGGAAGGCCAAGTCTCGCCAAGTAGGAAAGGAAAAGGGCAAATATAAAGAAGAAACAATTGAGAAGATGCAGGAATAAAATAACCATATTTACAATTTGCATTAAAAACGCTAAAATGAAGATATTTTGTTTTATGTGTGGTACTTTGGTGGTTTGGTTTCTTAGTGCCTTATCAGCCTTTGGATCTGTAAAGGGAAGTTTGGGTGATATTTGCTGTTCAAAAACTGGCCATCCATTTTACTTGTGGCTCAATTGAGTTGGCCTTTGAACTTTGAGGATTAGTTCTTTCATAGTTGAGAAGTCCGTGAGGGTTTTTTTTTTTTTTAAGTACTTAACAGTTTCCTGAAATCAGATGGTGGTTTTTTTACAGCAGGCACAGAAGCATTTGGTCTACATCATGGCTGCATTGGCATCATCGGGAAGGCCTACAAAAGAAGCCAGCTGGGAATATTTATTCTTGAATTTGTCTTCCTTCTAATGGGCTGCCATAAGGATACAGCATATTTACTTTTTTTCATAAAAATTTATGTCTTTGGATAAAAAGTCTTAGAATAAAGAAGAGAAGCTGCTGTGACCAGTAGCCCTGCTTCAAACTTTTCCTCTAAAATGAGAAGTCTCACTTTCTTTGAGCTACATGTGGGTCCTCTGAACTTATTTTTGCACTGGTGCTGATTGAGTGCTGTTAGTCCAAAATCTTTGTGTCGCAGTATGAAATACAAAATGTTCTAAAATGCAGGTTCTCTTGAAGTACTGAAATGGTGTGAAATGCAGGCAGTTGATTGTAGCTGCAGTGTGTGCAATCCTATAAGCAGGCACAAAGCATGAAGGCAGTTCACTTTCCAGGCAGGAGGCATTTGAGGTTTTGTGACAATGTGAGAAATGGGTAATATCATTTGCCTTAGCCTGGTCACATGCATGCCAGCCCTAGGTATCATCTCAGCAAAGAAAACACTAAATACTGAGTCTGCACAGCTGTCCTGCCCAGCCCTCTACATTCAAAAGGTTTCTCCTTGCCTTGGGTCCCTTTGGGGGTGGGGCTTCCAACCCTGCAGCCTCACTTCTGGTGAGGAGGGCGGGTCATGGAGATGCTGTTCTGGTGCTGTAGTTCAAGCTGTTTGTGGCCTGGAGGAGTGAGCATTGCTCAAGCAATGTTCCCTGGAGTGTCCCTTTCACCCTAAGAACTGCCCTGAGTTTTGTAGTATCCAGCCCTTTCCTGTACCACCCACTGGAGTCATTCATGCACCCCTGAGCTGTCCACCCTTCACCAGGTAGATGGGGGCAATGATTAGCCTACCAGGTCAGCTGAGGCTGCTAAAGGGGGGTGTAAGGAGGACCTCACTAAGGAGGTGATACTCAAACCCAGAACTAGCTAGAATTTGTGTTTCATGAAGCCTTATGTGCATTATCATTGAGTCCTAATAACTTGCTATGTAATGTCCCCATTACAGATGAAAAAAACTGCAGCCCCAGTAACTGCCTTAGTCACATAGTAGAGTCAAAAATTGAATTCTCAAGAGCTTACACTAAACCATACTCCTGCACTGCTTCAGTAATAACTGCATACCTGTAAAACGTGTTTCAGAGATAATCTTTTTGAACACCTTTTTGTGCTCAAACTATGGGATGCAGGTAGGTAGAAACTTCAGCCTTCTAGGTTGTATACATGTGAACCAGTGGAGCAAAAATGCAAAGCAGAGTGCTACAGCAGGTGGTACAGGCTGTTCAGCTGAGGGAGAGATGGCCATTAGCTATAGTTGCTGAATACATCAGGGAGACTGGCTTGAGCTGGCTGTATTTTGGAAAATCGGTGAAAAATTCCAGGTTGGGAAGAGCCCAAGCAAAGATGCACAGATGGATGAGGAAGGGAGTAAACATGGCTTCTGAAGACCCAATTTAACTAAGTTTATCAGTTACCCCAGCAACACAAATCACATCAAAAAGCCTATTTATTTAGGTCACATTTCTTTCATGGTGCTTTAGAAAATACATTGGTAATTAAGATAGCTACAGCACCATGCGTGTAAAATGAAAAAGGTAGTTCACTTAAAGACTGGGTTATGGGACCACAGGCTCTACCTAAGGGAAGATGCTGCCTCCACAACTCAAGCCAGTTGTTGCCCTCAGTGTGGCTATACCTTTCCATTTTTTAATATTTAGTTTTAGGTGGACACAATATTTTTATGTGGTGTTGAGTATCGAACCTAGTGCCTCTCGCATGCTAGGCGAGCGCTCTACCACTGAGCCACAACCCCAGCCCCCATTTTTCAGGATTTTTATGTGAAATTTCCCAATCTGTAAATATAAGTAAATCACTAATAATAATAATAATGATCACTGTTAGCCAAAGGTGGCCTTTAGACTGTGCTTTTAGGGTAGAATAAGGCCATCAAATATTAAAGACATTTTATATCTTTTATAAACTATTTCCAACCTGTCTTCATTTTTTTTTAGGATGGAGGTGAGCCTTCTTCCTCTGGAATCACCTGAAGGGCCTCAAATAACAACCAATACAGCCACTCAGTTTTAATAGATGCTGGTTTCAGTGAGGTATGTGAGAGGAGTTCTTCCTGGACCCCACTGAATACCTTGTGGTTTTAAGTCTCTTGTGAGGATCACTACGACTGACTGGAATAGTAATGCATATTCCTTAGAAAACGAAGTCCCAGGCTGGGGTTGTGGCTCAGCGGTAGAACGCTTGCCTAGCACGTCTGAGGTGCTGGGTTCAAACCTTAGCACCACATAAAAATAAGTAAAAGATATTGTGTCCAATTACAACTAAAAAAAATATTTTAAAAAATAATTTATGGGCTGGGGGTGTGGCTCAGTGGTAGAGCGCTTGCCTTGCAGGTGTGAAGCACTGAGTTCAGTCCTCAGCACCACATTAAAATAAATAAAGGTATTGTGCCCATCTATAACTAAAAAAATTTTTTAAAAAATAAAGAATATAATTTATAAAAAGAAAGAAAACAAAGTTTCATGTCAGTGATAACATGGAAATGGTAGGTGAAACAAACTGATTTCTTTACTGCAAGACCTTTTACAGCCTTCAAAATGTCAGTTTGCACTGAAGATCTTGAACTCAGGCTTAGTGTCAAGAGCATTTAGCAAAAGTTTCTTCAATTCCAAAATGCATATTTTTCACAATATGCATTTGGGTATGTCTTATCAGTACATTAATATGGGTTCTATTAAGTCAGTGGTTTTATAATCAGTGTTGTCAGGGTCAGGAATATTCCACAATTAGCCAGTGCTGCTGAGGAAGGGAATTTAGAGTCTTTTTAGTGGAGAGTCTTATTTTTTTAAATTTTTTTATTTGTTATATATGACAGCAGAATGCATTGCAATTCATATTACACATATAGAGCACATTTTTTCAAATCTCTGGTTATATACAAACTATATTCATACCATCCGTGTCTTCATACATGTACTTAGGGAAATGATTTCCATCTCATCCACCATCTTTTTTATACCCCTTACCCCCTCCTTTCCCCTCTTCCCCTCTGCCTTTCTAGAGTTCGTCTATTCCTCCCATGCATCAGAGAAGGCATTTGGCATTTGTTTTTTTGGGATTGGCTAACTTCTCTTAGCATTATATTCTCCAACTCCATCCATTTACCTGCAAATGCCATGTATTCATGGCATTTGATTTGTATATATATACCAAAGTTTCCCTATCCATTCATCTACTGACGGGCATCTAGGTTGGTTTCACAGTTTAGCTATTGTGAATTGTGCTGCAGTAAATATTGATGTGGCTGTGTCCCTGTAGTATGCTCTTTTTTTTAATATTTATGTTTTTAGGTGTAGATGGACACAACACAATGTCTTTATTTTTCTGTGGTGCTGAGGATCAAACCCGGGTCCCGCCCGTGCTAGGCAAGCGCTCTACCTTCGAGCCACAATCCCAGCCCCAGTATGCTCTTTTTAAGTCCTTTGAGTATAGACCAAGGAGTGGGGTAGCTGGGTCAAATGGTGGTTCCATTCCATGTTTTCCAAGGAATTTTCATACTGCTTTCCATATTGGCTATACCATTTTGCAGTCCCACCAGCAATGTATGAGCATGCCTTTTTTAGTGAAGAATCTTTAATACCTGGAAACAGCCTCAGCTTAACTGGGACTTTTGCTCAGAGCTTTTCAACATTTCCAGATTTTTCTGTTTCTCAGGATTCTGTTTTCCCTTCAGCTCTGCATCTGATGACTAGAATCCCAAGGATCTTGTTTTCTTTCTTTCTTTCTTTTTTTATCTTAAGTTTGAATTTATGTTTTGAAATAAAAATTCAATAACAAATTTTTACAAAATTGTCACACAGGAACACATCATAAGATACCATTACATGCTACATTGTCTTAGAAAAAGTCAGTAGATCGAATCAATTAGCTGTAAATTAAAACATGAGTTCCTTTCTTTAGGCAAAAGAAAGCTCATGTGAAATGTTGGACAAAAGCCAGTGAGACCTGCCAGTATAGTCAGTAATGGCTCAATATCTCCAGGTGTGAGGAAGCCAGGATTCTGGCCTCACTGGCTAGGGCTAAGCTCTGGCCTCCAGTTTCCCTCTGTGCACAGGACAGGATCCCACCAGATGCTTCTGAAGTCCTGTGTGCATGGTCATTTTATTTCAGATAACTACATACAATTTTGCCACTATTTTACTTAAACTTCCAAAAATAACATTTACAAGTTTTACCACAAGGAATACCATGATTTTTACTATGACTCTCACCACCTTTGCAAAAATATCCATTTTGTAAGTTTCTGGTTTGGTCCGTCTTATGGCACTATTCAAGCCTAAGAAGCATCTGCCATACACACACCTGTACATGTAAGAAACCAGCAGGTGGTGCTTTTCTGAAGCCCAGTCTATGGCTCTGCCTACACTGAATAGGCTGTTCCACATCTTAGGCTCAAACCATTTTCTCTCAAATTACAGAGTGTCCAGCTGATCATTTACTGTTCTTTCCTTATAGTTTCACTATTTATTGTACACAACATATTTTAGTATGTTCCTGTAGCAATTCTTCGTTTATCCTAACAATCAAAAATTGAATTTTTTAATATTAGTTCTTTAGACATTTTGTTGGTCTGTAAAGTTGATTTGCATAAAAACAAATGAGAAGAAACATATGCTGGTAGATCTTAGCACCTTAGAGTTATGATTCTGTCCCTCCATTAATGTTGCAAGTTAGCCTTAAAAGAATCAACTCAGCTTGCTCATACTTTCTCTAAAATATTTAGTTCTCTTCTTCAAGTAAACATAATTTTTTTACAATAGGCATGCTCAGAACAAATAGCACAAAACCATGAGTTATGACAAGTGATGTAAAAATGCAGTTGGCTGACTTCCGTTTATCAATTCTAAAATAAAGGCTTAAGCCTTTGAACACGCCCATGACCCTAAGTTCTAAGGTCCATAATTCCACATCATCATTTGTATAGTTTGACAAAAACTAGAATGCACGGTCTTAAATGTGTGGAGAAAAATATTAAAATTCATCATTACTGAAACATTTAATCTTCATAAATTATTAAAAATTCATAGCATGGCATCACTAAATCTTGTGAATTACAAAAGATGTAAATTTACAATAATTTCCTCTCATAATGATTACACCATTATCCATATTTATTTATTCCTAATTAAATTCAAGTCAACTACCTAATTTTGAGGTAGCTTCATTGTGGTTCTATTACAGAAGTGGTATGTTTCAAAGTATCATCTTTAGATAAAATTTGGAGAGGAAACAAAGTATTACTTGTATTGTTTTCTCACTTGGCATACAAACTAACAAAATCAACTATTTCTTCAGGGATAAAAATACAGTTCTTTTGTGAGCATGGACACAATACATGGAATCTGTTTCTTTGCATGAAAAGTGGAGTCAAGGGAAAAAGACTCAAATTCTGTTGCTACCTTCCAGTTTACCCGAGTGAGACTATGCATAAACGCAAGCTTATGAGCTTACAGTTTCAGCATAGCACACAGTGACTGGATGAACCAGGATCCATCCTTGGAATTTCGCCAGGAACAGTAACCTGGTGCTGTAGAATATGCATATAAGAAGTCGGCCTCTACTGGTATTTTGTGGCATGCCAGGTCATCATCAATGCCACTGCCTATCTCAATGCCACAGTCTAGTTCTGTACCCCGGCAGGCCTGAATAATGAAAAGTTTGGGTTTTCCAGTTAGACTTCTACAATAATCTCCTCTGAAGAAACTTGTTAATTTTTTCAGGTCAACAGGTCCATTTGTTCCAAATATTATTCTTTCATCACCATGGCTTAGAATTACACAAATAAAGCTGCTCCTTTTGCTATGATCTTCTTTAGAAACATTGTGCATTAACTCCACAATTTCTTTATGTGTAAGGTCATTTTTATTTCTGACTTCATATTTCAAGTTCATGAATGTTTCTCTAATGTTTGCTGCATCTACATCTGTACCAGACCGAGAGGTCATTCCAGTGCTTTTATGAAAGTTCTTATTATTAATTATTAAACATAAACCCATTTCAGGATAATCCATTTTGTAACAATTGCCCAAGGATATTCCAGAGTTCATTGATTTGCTTCCATGTATGATCTTTGGTTCAAAATTTTTAATGAATTTTGAATCCACTGAGTTTTCATTGTTCTCCATGGTTACTTTTCTTAACGCGTAGCTCTAGGAGCACCACTCGGCACACACACACCTGCCAGGCTTCCGCCACCCCACAAGGATCTTGTTTTCTTAAGCTTGTTGGATTCCCCTTATCATCATGTGAACTTTTCCTCTGACTCCATCCCCATCCTGTACCTTAGGGTTGTTCTAACTAAGAAATCTTAATTTAGATACCTGAATATCAAGTTCTTTTCCTGAGGAATTCTCTGCTCTTGGTGGCATGTCAACTTCATTTGGGATATTTCTTTTTAGCACAGCAATCTGACGTGGCTCTTTGTACGGAATTATCTTCATTTCTGGAAACAGACCTTGCTACCTTTGTTTAGAGCCATTAAGTCTGCACCTGAAAGCGTCTACCTCCCTTGGAGTGCACAATTACACGTGGACTTGACCTTCATTCTGGAAACATGGGTTTCATTTTAAGAATTGTTATAACAGGTCAGATGTACTGACCTTCCAGAAAGGCAAACCCCTTTGCCTCACCAACAAAGCTAGACTCATTTTGTTGGATCCTGAGACTTTCTCCTAATCTCTTCTATATAATATTCACATGATTCATTCAGAGTCATGTACTGGCATACCTTTATTCCTGGCGTTCTCCGCCATCTCTTCCCAATCCTGCTGAAGCTACTCCTTAGCCCAACCTCCAGGGTCAGAATGGTCCCTGTGACAGCAGCCAGTACTGTTTTAGGAGACTCTAACATTTGAGAATCTAACCAAAGATTCCACATATTTGGAAGACTCTTGGAAGGACTGCTTCTGAGACAGAATGCTAGATAGTTATGAGAACATGGTCCCACAAGGTAAGGACTCAGAATCTTCATTTATTAATCCTATGTACAATCATCAGGGGAAAACCATCATTTAAAAATATCCCCACTGATTTCTTCTTGGTTTCCCCTTAAAGGAGGACAGACTCTTCAGCCATAGGAAATTGATTGTGTTCATTGTGGAAAAGCTTAAAAAGCCCTCTCTATGCTAACTTCCATTTAAGAGTTTGCTATTATTTTGTTGTATCTTCTAGTACCATTGCCCATTTACATTATTTTAAAAGACACTGAGGGTGCTTACGGGCTTATAATTTCAATGACATGGGAGAATGAGACAGGAGGGTCACAGGTTTGAAACCAGCAACTTAGACCTAGAGATACAGTTAAGTGGTGAAGTGCCCCTGGGTTTAATCTCTGGTACCAAACAACAACAATAAAAAAGGTACTGAGGATAAGATATTTACCTACTATCTTAGGGATTTCCACTTCTATTTAATTAACAAGACCTATTTATTAGGTCTCACTGTATAAGCTAATGGTTTCCATAATGTTTGCCTATTGTCTAAAATCGCTACATATTTGTTACCTTACAGATTTCAAATTCTGTTGGCATGCTCTGGTTTTGAAAGCTCCTCACTGGCACTCTGACTGCTTTATCCTATTATTCTGTTATCTTTCTTCCATATAATAGTCTTCAAAAATCAGATGAAGAATTTAAGGACTGAAGTCCTTCAATTGGTGTATCAGTGAATTTAAATTTGTTCCATTTTCTTAATCCTTTTTTTAGGACCCTTCTTTCAGTTCTCTATAATGCCACAGAGAGCTAGAAATAATCCACTTGGAATTTCAAATGAAAGTGAAATAGAAATGGAGATAAGTCACATGAGAGAAAATTTTCCTGCAAGTGTAACAAAGTTAATAGAAAGCAAAAGTTATAACAGCAAGGTATTTTCCAAAGAAAAGTACTTTCAAACAATAAAGGAAGTCAAAGAAGCTAAGGTAAAGGGGAAGAAGTCATCACGTGTTTATCGCCATGCCACAAAATATGATGGCATCTCTGTACAGGGCACAGAGAAATTGATAGAGGCTACTCATGGGGAGTGAGATCGAATATGGTGTTATGTACATGTTTGATATTCTTCATTGTACACATCTCAGTATTGGGCATGGTGGGCAGACACACATGCTCAAGGAGCTACAAGGAAAATATGGGAATGTCACCAAAGAAGTCATTATCTTATATCTGACTCTGTAAACAGTGCCATCAGAAGAATCCAGTGCCCAACAGAGGCCTTGCACCTAAGCCCAAGACTTTTAAAGACATGGACTCCAGATGTCAAGTTGAAATACTTGACATGCAGTCAAATGCTGTGGCAAGTTCAAGTTTATTTTATATTACCAGGATCACTTGACAAAGTTTCTTATTTTACAGCCATTAAAAGACAAAAAGACCCATGAAGTTGTCAGTGTTTTGTTGGATATATTCATAATTCTTGGTATACTCAACATGTTAGAATCTGACAGTGACATAGAGTTCACAAACCAAACTGTTAATGAGCTCAATGAGGTATGGCCAGACTTTAAGATTGTCTCTGGTGAGTACCTTGCTGGCCAAGGCCAGGGCTCCCTGGAATAAACAAGGCATGATGTGAAGAACATGGTAAATTTCTGGATGCAAAGTAACCACTCATGTTACTGGGTAGAAGGCCTACGTTTCTTACAGATGGTGAGGAATCAGGCCTTTGACATTTCCTTACAACAGAGTCCATATGAGGCAATGTTTGGTTGTAAAGCCAAATTTGGACTATAGTCCTCAAACTTGCCCCAGGAAACTGTGGCCATTTTATAAACAGAAGAATAGATAGAAGTTGCTGAAGAAAAGTTAGAAAACAGCCTGTGGATCAGGCAGAAAGAAAGGGCCAAGATGGGAGCAGACAGATTGGATATGGATGAGGATATGGAGCCTAATTCTGAAGCTACAGAGCCCAGTACCTCACAAGGGGCCTCCAGGCTCCTCTGCTGGTAAACAGACACCTGATGGGGTGGACACCCATACATATCTCTCTCAGCATGACATTTTCACCTAAGAACTGTTACAAAAGACCCCAGAAAGACAAAATGAAGGCAGCATTTGGATTGAGTTGCATCCAGTAGTCCTTATTTGGAAGGAGAAAGTAAATCAAGTCTGTATATTTGCTCTAGAACAGCTGTAATAAATGACCACAAAGTTGGTAGCTTGAAACAACAGAAATTTATTGTCTCACAGTTTTGGGGTCAGAAATCTGAAATCAAAGTTTTGGAATGGTTGGTTCCTTCTGAAGACTCTGAGAGAATCTATTCCATGCCTTTCTTCTTTCTCTGGAGGCTACCAGCCATCTTTGGTGTTCCTTGGTTTGTGAGCTGCATAAGTCTAGTCGGCTTCCATCTTCACTTGGTCTTCTCCCCTGTGTCACTGTGTATGTTCTGCTTTTCTGTCTCTTGCAAGGATACCACTGGACACCAAATCCATGTTTTTGGATTTATTGCCACCCTAATCAAGGATGATCTTATCTCTTAATTACTTCTGCAAAGACCCTTTTTCCAAGTAAATTCACATTCACAGATGCCAGGGCTTTGAACTGAAGACTTTTTTTGGGGGGGAGACAATTCTATTTCAGTCAATAGAAGAACCTCTTTGTCTGCAAGTCGAGAACTAATGGGATCTTAAGCATGGGGGAGGTGGTGTAAGACTGCCTGACATATATCTAGCATATCCTCCTGCCCCTCAGACAGATACTCCTAAAGATAGAGGCATTAGAAGTAGATGAAGGAAAAGTAGTGAAAATAAAAAAGGAACCAGGTGCAGTGGCACATGCCTTTAATCCCCATGATTCAGGTGGCTAAGACAGGAGGATTGCAAGTTCAAGGTCAGCCTCAGAAACTTAGTGAGATACTGTCTCAAAAAAAGCTGAGAAAATAGCTCTGTGGTAAAGCACCTGAGTTCAATCCTCAGTACCTACCCTCCCAAAAAACAGGTTGGTCTAAAATGCCCTAAAGACCGGTCTCTTCACCAGTGGGGTGCCATTTTCTGCTTCAAGAGAAATCCTAAGTGCCATCCCTGCTCTCAGAATGGCAAGCACTGGAAATGGTGTGGCCTGCCTGAAACATAAAACTAGGTCACAATTAAGACATGGCTGGAATTTGGATCCTGCTACACCACTTGTTTATGCCTCAAGCGTTTAAAAGCATGTTGTATTTCTGGCACAGGTCAGTGAATTCCAGGAAGTGACCAATAGGGAAACAAAACAAAAAGTTGGCTTGAGGTCACTGCTCCAACTAGAAAGGAATAGGGCATGTCTAGTTTGGGTCATAGTTCTGAGTAAAGAGGACTGACCTGGCCAAAGGGAAAGATGATGCCCAGGATCTGTTACTGCTATGTTTTCAAGGCCTAGAAAAAACAGGTGGGAGGTGTTCCATGAGTTGATCCTGTGGAGATGTGCACAGAAAAGGAGAAAGGGTCCTTTATTCTTCATACAGTTCTCCTTCCTCATAACCCAGAGCCATCTAAAAACGATTCTGGCTGGGCACGATGGTACACACTTATAATCCCAGCAGTTTGGGAAGCTGAGGCAGGAGGATTACAAGTTCAAAGCCAGCCTCAATAATTTAGGGAGGACCTAAGCAAGTTAGCAAGAACTTGTCTCAAAATTTAAAAAAAAGGAGCTGGGGATATGGCTCAATGGTCAAGCACCCCTGGTTTCAATCACACAAAAAAAAAATAGGCTGGAGATGTAGCTCAGTGGTAGAGGGCCACTGGGCTTAATCTCCAGTATTAAAAATAATAATAATTAAAAAAAAATAAAAACCTGATTCCAATTGACTCTAATGCCAACTTCCTCTTCTGTAGGGGACAATAAAAACTCTGATGTTTCCTTCCTCACAGGGTTGCTTTGAGAGACAAGATAATGTGAAGGGACTCTCCATAAACAGTAAACTTCTACTACTACTACTAGTGAATCCTAACATCCATGCAAGACTTGGAAAACTATGTTCATTGCCATTCCTTTTCTGGTTAAACTGTTGGAGAGTATTCCGGGAGCTGCATTATTTTTAGATAGGAGAGGTTATTACTACCCAGCTTGTTTTGAAGTGCAAAGCCTTGCTCTATCCTTGGCCAGCATTTTACTTTCCAGTCTCCTTCCAATCCATAGTTCTTTGCAACTCCGTCTAGCAAGGTCTAGG